AAAAAATTGATCCTTTTACCCAACCAACCTTTTTTAAAAACAATCAATATTGCAAGCCAATTTTTACTGAAATGAAAATAAAAATATTTTCAAGAAGTAATATTTCTTGAAGAAGTCGAAGGCTTAATTTTGAAGTCATTTCACTTGAGTTCATGATAGCAACAAATTTTTAGAAGCACAGTTCTTTGAAACGAATTATTGTGATATGCTGAGCCATCAATGAACAAATATTAAAATATGTATGTTGTAAAATAGCCTATGATTTTCCAGGAAAAAATGCTTTGGGGCAGATTTGACTGAAAGTACGAGTAAACACAAAAGAAGGCAATTATTATTTTTACTATTGAATAATACTGGAGCTTTATCGCAAAATCAAACAGTTATTTTTGGGTTTAATCTTCCTTTTGAAGATGATCACTTGGTTATTGAAACACGTGTCGAGGAATTAAAAATAACGGTGTGGTGTTGGGATAAACTTCTAGTAATATTCGTTACTACACCAAATGTTCCAAACAGTGCATCACAAATTTTTACTATTGTAACATACTCCAGGTGGACACAAATATTTATGAATTTCATTAGTTCGGACTCCTATTGTCTGATATTGTATAAAATGATTTGAAATCCCTGAACGAACTAAAAAAAGAAGAATTAAAAATTAAAGAAGAAGAATAAAAATGAACAGCTGAAAAAACAATTATATTAAGCAACCAACGTTCTGGTAGAAGAAGCACTCCAAATCATACAGAGGAAGCTATCCAAAGACGGGGACCTGAAAGATAGAACGAATTTACCAATAGAAGTAATTATGGAGTTGCTAGGATGCTGTGTATGATACTGTTATTTCCAACTGAAGGACGAATTCTTTACGCAAGATGAGGGACTGTCAATGGGATCGCCAGTTTCACCAGTCATAGCCAAAATATATATTGAGTGGTTTGAAACTCTGGCCATTGAAGAAGCCCACAAGAAACCTCGTGTCTCGTTGAGATACGTTGATGAAACCTTCATAATATGGAACCATGGGAATACTGAACTAGACGCCTTCTTGAAACACACCAACAGGGTACGACCTTCCATCACTTTTTCAATGGAGAAGAAAGCCCACAACGAATTGCCATTCTTAGACGTATTGGTGAAGAGGACCGACACCAAGTGGGAAACATCTGTATACCGAAAACCCACTCATACGGGACAGTATCTGAACCACGAATCCAACCACCATCAATCGACAAAAAGAGGAATCATCAAGACTCTATTAGACCGTGCTTTTGGGCTCTGTAATACAAAGGAAGGTCTCGAGAAGGAACTAGACATCATCAAAAAT